GCGGGCGCCGCCGGGGGACTCGGCGCCGGCGCGGGAGCCACCGGAGCCGCCGCCGGAGCCGTCGTCGCCATTTTGCGAAGAGAGGGAGGAGAGGGGGCTGCGCCTACAATAATTGGCTAAGCTGGACGCCTGTCACGCAGGGCTAGCTCCCATTGGGGAAGGGCGTGCCCTGCAAGTCCCGCCTCGCATCCGCTGGCCAACCCGGGGAAAGGCATAGAGAAACGAGTTCTCTGATTGGAAGACGCTCATTCAGGACCGGGGAGCTTTTCAATTGGACGCTCACTACTCCGTCATTGGCCGACGAGGCTTCCTGCTACTGTCTGTCAGCGCTTAGAGGCCAGTCTATTGGTTGCGGCGCTTGTGTTGCCGCCCCCGCGCGGTTCTTAGGCGCGGGCGGGGAGGGCGCTGGCCCTTACAGTGCGGAGCCGCGGAGGGTGGCGTGGGGCGGGGTCGGGCCGGGCCTCCTCGACGTCCGGCGGGCGCCCGTGTTGCTGGGCCTGGGGCTCTCGCTGGCCGGGCCCTTCCCTGCATGTGCGCCTGGCTCCCGCCTGGGCGCGCTGAACACCTGGGCTGTTGTGGCCAGCACCTTGGGGGTGTGTTAGCTGCTTGGTTGTGCGCACACCAGGCTGTGCTGGGCAGGTGTGGTTGTAAAACAACTGTTTCCTTGTGATGACCGGTAGGGATAATGGATTCCTGCCTGGCAGAGTGGCAGAGCCTTGGTCAGGCTGCCCAGAGAGGTTGTGGAGTCTCAGAGAGGTTGTGGAGTCTCCTCTGGAGAGCTTCCTGACCYGCCTGGATGCCRCCTTGTGCTCTGTGTGTCCCTGCTGGAGCAGGAGGTTGGACTAGGTGATCTCCAGAGGTCCCTTCCAGSCTCAGCCCTTCTGTGAATCCYKTGGCACCTGGTTTTCCCKCGCTAGGTGTGAAAGGCTCCTGCTTGCAGCCATTATATCAAAAATTACAGCGGTGTAATAATATTCCTCAGTCTTGCATCCTAGTCCAAAAGTTTTTTCTTACAAAATTATTTTTGAAGATTCTTAAGGATCAAAACAATTTTAAGTTTTTCTTTTTTTTTTTTTGGTGGTGATCTTTAGTTGTTCTTTTTTGCCAAGTATACTGTTCATACGTTAAATCACTGATTTATCCAGAAGTCTTACATCCTGATAGCCCATTTAGACCAGTAAATCTACATCAGGAAGAAATTATGTCAGTTCTTTGCAACCACTTTGTCAGTTAGGTGGCTGCTTGAATAGCAGAATATTTCAGGGTMGTTGTTTCCAGATACAACAAGGAAAAGAGCTGTGCTGATTGCATGAAGTGCTGGGTGGTTTTTGCCCTTTTTCTCTGGACTTCTGAGCTGCAGTTTCTTAGATCYGGGTTAATGGTTAAAGCCCTTATAACACTGGGAGGTGTTTGGTGAGGACAGGAGCCTTTTGGAGCTCGTGAGGGGTTTTTCAGCAGTTCCTGTGCTTGCTGAAGGCCGTGTGAGCAGGTACAGGGAGCAGCTCGGTGGGATGAGTCTGTTCTGCCCCTGTGCCGGTGCTTTGCTGCTCTTCCGTGAGCAGGGTGCCCACTGAAGCTASGAGGAGAGTTTATGCCCTGATGTTGGGAACACGTGGAGCCTTTATCTTGGTAAGAACACTTGCTGGTCTGTATGACAATAYAGGCTGAGGCTCCTGTTCTTAAGCTTCCAGCCCACAGCCTTCATTTCTTGTGGGTGTGCCTGGGTTTTAAGGTTGCACATAAGACCTAAAATGCTCCTGGAGCTTTGATGTGTCATTGGGAAGTCTAACGTGTAGGGTGTGTATTAGAGAGTGGCTCTTTGAGCCTGCTTTCCTTTGCATCAGCCTGGCATTTATGCTTAATTGGCATAGCTGCTGATTCAGGTGAAGCAAACGGGACTCTTAAGACCTGACCATTATGCCCTTGTGCTCCAGCCTTTAAAACTGGTTGGCTTGGTTGGGAGCAGTGCTTGTGCTTTGAAGCTGGGACAGCCTTCCTTAATGTGTTGATGTCAAGCTGCTAAACTCTAGGCCAAGGTGAGAGTGTAGTGAGTAAGGACAGATGGTTCAGATCTCAGAAGTCAGAGATCAGCAATCAGGTCACACAAAGCCYGGTTTGTACAGTGAGTGTTTAAATCTTTTTGTCAAATGGTAGGAAAATCAACTGTGCTGCTCGTAGGAGCTACGGTGTCCAAGGTACAAACCTGTTTTTACTTGTGTGACTGGAGGAAAATAGAGACCTTYGTAACTAATTTCCCTAATAAATGTTTCAGCTTATTAATAGTATTTTGTTTTAGATGGACGYTTACTGTGACATGTAACATGTAACTGTGACATGTGACATGACACTGTCACTGCTGCTTGTTATTGAAAGCTTAATGTCCGTCTCTGAAGTGTTTAGATGAGTGTTTAGATATTGCAGTAAAATCTATCTGTGCGAAAGAGGGATGGAAGAGGCATTTTCACATTAGCATAGACACCACAGGTACAATTTACAATTCTTGCTGCATGGTTTCCCTCCCTCTTGTTTTGACAGTGAATATGACGACCTTTTATCTCTGCTTTTGTGTTTCCTGTGTGAATGGGTTGTTGTTATTGCATATGCTGTCACATCAGCTGCATTTTCACAGGTAGTGTATAATCTCCTGATCAGGAGCTGTCCCCTCATCTTGCTTATATTACTGGAAGCAGCATCATCTGTAGCACAAAGCAAAACACTTCCTGTAGTACGTGCAAAGTAAAATATTTACACGTTTTATCTGTTGTTTCAGGAAGCAGTTTTATTTGGCTAGGTTCATGGGATTAGGTCTGGTGGGTTTTATCCCATTMGTATAACAATTTTCTACTGTGCTCTCTAAGATATTCTTACAGTTACTGCTGCCAAGAAAAGATCAGTTGCTGAGCTTCCTCTATGCAGTGTATAATCCTATTTATTTAGAAGCAAATGAATGTCAGGCGTCACTTTGTGAGTCGCTTTGGGTTCCTTGCTTGGCAGTCCGTGTCTCCAGCCTTCCTTGTACYCTTCTTCGCTTTCTTTCGTACCAGGTTGGGACCACTTTTGTAATCTCTCGSTTATCTCTGTTTTACAGGGGCTTTTTTGGGGGCCTACCTTCAGTGCAGAGCTTTCTATGGTGTAGACACAGGCAGTGGGTTCTGTTGTTTTCTATTAAAACTATAATATTCCCTTATTTAATCAGAATGGAATGTCTTAGATACTCGTCCACTTCCCCTGCATTTGGGATTGCTGCTAGATGAAAGACAGTTTTTGGCAGCAGTGCAATCTCAGCATAATGAGATATTATAACTTATGATTTATCTCCATGCTAGCAAGAAGAATTGGAGCACTTTTGCACAATGTTTATGAGGCTACTTTCATTGTGAGGGAAATGGTGCTGGTGTCTGGGACTTACAGAAGCAGCACTAGGGAGAAAACCCAAATAACCACCCAAATAAATGAGGCACAGTGCGAATTGCCTGCCACGGGGATATGCATAGACATATAGCCTCTCTAAAGCCAGCCTGGAGATGAAAGTATCATGGTGAAGGTGCTCCAGACTCATGCTTTGAGCATGGCCAAGTTGCTGTGTAGAAATGCAGAAGTTCCAGCTAAAAATAAAGGCAGCTTCACAGAAGTAAAAAGTTCAGAAAAGTGGCAGAGACTGGTGTGCTCAAGCAGTCGGACTCAGGCCAACAGGTACTCGAGCAGTCAGAGCTTTATCCTCGCTGAAGAGGATGAGGAAGAGAGATACAGCCTGAGCCAGCGATGGATGTTGTGTGGCAGGGGACCCAAGCCCCAGCAAACAGCACATGGTACGAAATAATTGTCTCTGACAAGTGTTGAAAATGTAAAGCTGTAGACAAGTCCCAATATGATTTATTTAGCTGTTAGGATTCTCTTACGTACCAGTCCTGGTGCTCCCTGTGATGCGCTGGGGTTCGTATCAGGACGATCTGTTTCACATTTGTAACTATGGCGCTGTGGCTGAGCCCCTAAACGCCCTGGTAGAATTAGTACTGTGTGAAAAAGCCCCGCGTTGGGTGATTTTGGAAGCGTTTCAGTCGCTTTCGGCCCCTGGCCGAGGCCACGCACGCGCTCGGCTGCCAGACCGGGCCCGCGGAAGCGTTTCCCGCTCCCCGCGCCTTCCCGCCGTGCGGCCGCGGGCGCCGAGCGCTGGCGGGGCCGCGAGGGGGCAGCCTGCGAGCGCCCTGGCGGCGGCCCCGAGCCCCGGACACCCGCTCCCAACCTCCGGCGGAGCCGCCACGCAGCCTCCGGCCTGTCCTGGCTCCCCAGGCCGGGCTGAGGTTGTCGCCAATCGATTCTGTTCYCCTCGTAGTTAAATTGGTCACAAATGCAATGCACCTCCTTTGTCATCACTTAATGCACACTAATAGGTAGCTTACTGCTTATTTTGAAGCAAGTGTCCTGGGTAGGAGCATGWACAGAGTGTCTTTTTCACCTTATTTATTATGGGTGTTTCCATGACATGCCAGTTTGCCACGCAGAGCTGTGTGTAGGGGTGCAGGCCTGAGCTCTGCTGAACACCCCCTGTTCTGCTGAAATGGAACAAAGACTGTTTTCAGCCTTTGTAAACCAACCTGCCAGCATCTATCAGGATGTTCCTGTAACTTGATGATCTCTGATTGTGACCGCTGGCCTTTGGCTCAAATCATGCTCAGAGTCAGGTTGCAGGCGAGAGGATTTTGCCTATCAGTAGCCACAGGCAGAATAAAGAAAACTGGTGCGTATTTTCTTTACCCATAATCTTCTTTTCATAAAATTCATGTTTTTTTCATGGAACTTTACTTTGCACTGTGCTGAGTAGCCTGGYACTCTTTGCCATTTAATTTCACCAGAGCCCTCATAGGCTTAAAGCTAAGAACGTAACAGCTTTGCTGGGTCATGAGCATGTTCAGCACCTCACAGGATCAAACTCGATACTCCATCGTACCTCGTGCAGAGAGCAAAGAAGAAAACCCAAAGAAGAAAACCCAAATGCGGCTCCTGGTGCTTCTCTTCTCCCGGATGGCTTGGGGCAGAGGCGCTGCTGCCCGCTCAGCGTGGAAGGAAGCCTGACAGTTCTGCCAACTTGCTGCCCCTGGACCCAACTCCAGAGTGGGACTGGGTCCCTGAACACCTGCTGGCATACAAGTGAAAAGAGATGCCACTGATGGCTGTGCGAGTCCGTGTGCAGGCTTGTCTGGGATATTAGGAACTTGTAATTCTCCTAACAGCTAATGCATCAATATACTRTTGGTGGGAGAGCACCACTTCTCACAGCCCTGGGTTCTTACAGGGTTATTTTACAGCTTTACTTCTTACTTGCAAGTGCATTTGAGCCCAGACAAAACTTACCCCTGAGCCTGGCAGCCTTGAGCTGGACCTCCGGGACTGGTGCTGTTACGTGAACACGCACAACATCTGCTTTGGTGTGTTGAGGTGGAGTCTGCTTGCACAGGTGGAGTAACTAGACTGGAAAATACATATGTCACTTGATGGTRCAGAGAAGCCTGCCTAGAGTTAGAATGGCAGAAGTTTTGTGGCTTCTAAGGATTATCTAGAATATCCTGCTGGAGTTTGACAGTGCTGTAGGTCTCCTTCCAGCTCTGTGTTCCTTTGTTTCCCTATAAAGCAGCTGTGCTGTGATGCCTTAGATGAACAGAGCAGGAAGCAGGGAGGAGATAACTGCCTATAGAAATGGGAGTTGAAAAGGAATGGATATATTAAAAGATGGGGGACAATTCTCTGTAGGAACATGGCAGGCTTGAGTACTCATCTGTGTCACTGACAGGTTTGGATGGTATCAGCAAGTCATCCACATACCTGAAGTAGTGACAGAGATGTGCTTTGGGGAGCATTTTAACTCTTCCTAGCTGCTTTCTTGGGAAAGTTACCAAACATTTATGTAGCCTCTTTTCCACATCTGTAAAATGTGGCTAATGATAGTCTGCTGACTAGGTCTGTATGTATGTACGGATGACCAGCTGAGGAAGGACCTTACTCTCGGAGGAAGCAGCTTGGAGAGGAAGCTGAGGAGTCCATTTCCTCACCCAGCAATGGAGAGGGATGGTAACGGCCTCTGAACCTTCTTCCTATGGAAAAAATGTAAGTAGCTTTTTCACTGAGCTGAGCTCATGCTCAACTCCCTCCGTTTCACTACTGTAAGCTTCCCATGAAACCTGAGGCTCATCTTGGGGCCATACCCAAGTGGTCAAATTTTATCTCAGTCGCTGCCTCTGGAGTCTTGTATTGGCTGGATGTGGCCTTCAAAAATGTGCCTAACATCTAAGCTCAGAGGCGTGGGTGAAATATTGAGCATTTGAATATCTCTGAGTCTTTCTAAATCAGAGTCAAGTATGGGAATAGCAGCAGTTTCTTTGCAGAAAAACTATGATGATAATTATAACCAAAGTGTATTAGAAGCTCAGATATTCTGTCCTGTGTTGAGTACTCTAGATAAATACAGTGAAAGAAGCTTCTCTGCATGTCTTCTGCAAAGCATTTTCTCAGCCCTTCAGTCTGTAACCTTTCAGCAAACTTTTGATTCACTCCTGAGGAGAAAAGCATTGAATTCTGGTACTGTTTGCTGTTTCTCAGTTTGAAATCAACCAGTAGAACCCCAAAGGGTTTCTTGAACAGCTGAGTGTTAAACACAGTTAGGAACAAAGATCCATTGAAAGCACATTCAGATTTAAGCTCTGTGGCTTGCTTTTCATTTCTTTGAATCAGCATTGGGAGTAATTACCGTGGTCAGTCTGGCCTTTTATTTGTTCGAGGGCTTATTCATGTAAACAATCAATTTCTAGGAGGCCTAGCTGCTTTCTGGAGATATTCATCACTTTTGTTTAATCTTTTCTAAAGATTCTGAAAGTTAAAGAATTTTGTTCTAAAATGCCTAAAACACATTAAATAGCATTTTATTGGAAGCRGGACTTTGTGATTTTAAAGGGCAGTTGCAAGGAACACGCTTTGGCAACAGAATTTGGATCGTAGTACCTTAAGGGTTCAGTAGCCTTCTGGAGTTGGGAATGTGAGTCCTTGGCAGCCTGGATGATTTGCTCAGATGGAGCTATAGAGATGTAAGGTGTATATTGTTCCAAAGAGCTTCCATTCCAGATAGAAATGAAGAAGAATTAGTGGTTATGGCTAGGCTTACCTGTGCCTTTAGATGACAGGAGGGAGAAACCTAAAAGCGGTTTTTAGCAGCCTCTGGGCATTAAAACTGTTGAGGCACCTGCAGTTACACCCGTCTGCTGTTCTGAGCCCTGAGCTCTATTTCTCTGGTATAAGGTTCATGCTGCAGTATTGCCACCATGCCCGTCAACTGGCTCTGTTGCAAGCCTTGTAATTGGTGCATTGTGAGATTTTTTTGTTTGTCGTTGTTAAAAGCAAGACATTGGAGTCCACAGTAATTGAGAATATCATCTTTCAGAGCTTTTAAAATTATGCTCTTAATTCTTACTGTTACAGAATAACATTCTGGTTTATCTGAACACTATAAAACAAAGGATTATTGACAAGGTGCAAAAGATTTCACACACTGGTGTTGATTTTTAAAATGATTTTAGGAGCTTTAGTTAGGATATCTGAGTAGTAAAAGCTGGTAGCAATATTTCCTTGAGAGGAAAATAGCAGCTAACAGAAACTTAGATTTGCAGTTAGACCCCTGCCTGGCAATTACACTGCAGTGCAGACCTACGCAAACTAACAGAGATGTGAGAAACTGGACGTTGTCTTAGTGCAGCGCCATCCATGCACTAATGCAGCATTTTCAATGGGACTACTTAGTTCTTGATTCTCTGTTTTTATATAACTTTTCCCCAGACTCTTAATTTGGGTGCTCTTTTGAAGCCTGTTTGCTGGTAGAGGCTCTCAATGCTGCCCTGTTTCGTGTGAGGAGTGTTGGGGGAGTGTCCCTCCAACTGGAACCTGCAGTTCAGTGCCGTGTTCCTGGTGAGGAGCTTGGGCAAAGAAAACACGGCTGTCTGCGTCGATAGGGACTTGGAACATAGTCCAGTATTTAACAGGGTTTGCTAAAGGTGTCGTTGAGTCATTATCATCTTTATTCAGCAGGAGAACTTGAGCTGTATTTCCTGTGTCCTAGTAAGCCTTTCCTAAGACATAATTCTGTCGGTTCATAAAAGTAGCAATTTGAGTGTATCTTGTTGCTCAACACATTTGTTGGCTGAACTGTAGTGACAAGAGTCATACTATGCAAACAAAGCAGCACTTCAATCACTTGTTCTAAGTGCTTAGTCCAACTCCGCTGCCATATAAGAAGATCTTGGTTTTGGCTAAAATTTTGGAAAGGCTCAGGAAAGCTCAGTTGGGATGAAGACTTTGGATTCTCCTGGCTTTTAATCAAATGCAAACAGAGCTTCCAATAATGTTTGTAATAATGCCTCGAGTGGAATTTGGCTGTTTTGTAGCCCATCAGAAGAAGTTGTCCTTGACAAAAGCAGTATTTTGAAATATCTGCTCTAAAGCACTGGAGCCAGGTTGCTATTTAATTTGGCAAAATACCTTCCCAGGAACAAGATGGAGAATTGAAGCCGAGCCAAAATAAGCTCTAACAGATGCTCAGGCTAGAAAGCACTAGACTGAATGGCTAAAAACTGGAAGTGTGGAGCAAGAAAAGGGCAGGGCAGCTTTCTGGTGCTGGATGTGACTCGCTGTGTGGTTCAGCTGCATCCCTTGTGTCTGGGTCTGCCAGCTGGAGGACATCTCGTCTGTCTGCCACCCCACTTGAGGTCCTGGGCTTGCCCCAGCTCTTGCTGTGAGCCCTGCTCTGGTTCACCACGGCTGCTCCCTCGGAAAGCTGCGGAGCAGGCGCTGGGGCTGCCGGCCAGGCTGCGCTGTGGTGGCAACTCTCGGGCTCAGGAGCTTCCACCGTGGCCTCCAAGTTGCGCTTTCCATAACACGCAGATGCCTGAGCTTGCAGGAAATAAACGTGCGGGTGCTAGCGAGATTAGAGTTGCTAAAGCTGCGTCTCTGGGATGGCTCAGGCTGCTCGGGTGTGCTGCCTTTCCTTCCCCTTTGCTGCTTCCTTCTGGCCTGTACCTGTGCTCATAACACTCCTAGCTGTCGCGCCTAGCGAGGAAATGAAAAGCTCTCTTGGAAGAGCTTTGCCTAAACTGCTTCTGTGAAACCTCTGTCCCTGCYACTGTGCAAATAGCACAGTAAGACTGACGCTCCTTTGCCTAAACTCTGCATGGCTGGATCCAAGGAGCAGGATCTGAGGATCTCATTCCACGACTTTAGCTCCTGTCCTATGAATTCTAAGATCATGGGGGAGAATAGTGTGTGGGAGGAAGATGGGTCATTTCACAACAGCATTTTTTTTTTTTGACTTAAAAATTTTCAGCACTTGCTCT